CTGGGTGCATGGGTGAAAAGCTCCTCCACCCCAGGCACCTTTAGTGACTCCTGCTTGTTTCCTCTCAAATCCAGAGGATGGGTGTGGTGGGATGAGTGTGCAGAAGAGTTTATGGGGCTCCAGGCCAGAAGTGAGGTCCCAATAGAGCTTATTGGCTGGTGGTGATCACCTGGTGGCCATGGCAGTAGTGGGGGTTGTCATCCATTAGTGTACTGATTCATGATAGGGACAGGATGATATCAGGGACTCATTTGGAAGAATGGACAGTGGTGTGACTAGTCTATGCAGTCCTCCTTGACAAAATCCTTTGTTTCTGAAGGTGGCCCATTGCTGGGTTGGCCTGCTCGACAGAGGTTGCAGTCTACCCTGGTCTGGCTGCTTTATCCTAGCTTGACAACATGCAGCACTCCCTTCCTTTGCCATAAGGCATCCTGTTCTCACCCTGACCTTATTTGGAGACTTTCTCTAGGCCTTGATACCTGACTTTCTTTTCGCATGACTCTTGACACAGTTCCCTGCAGAGGCTTTCCCTCTGCTGCCCATATGGTAATTAGACGTTGTGCTAGGAGTGTTATAATAGGACTTTGCTTTCACAGATGATATCTAAGAATTGTAGTAGGAGCTTTAAGATAGGGTTGTATTGTTCAACGCAAATTAGGTGATTCTCCATCTACTGTTTCCAGTCCTATATATCCCCTATACTCTGGAATAAAAGTGAGCTGTCTCACTGAAGAAGTCTCCTGGAAGGCAATTTCCATCATGTCCATGGGCTATACAAACCTCTCTGTTGATGCTTCTGCCCCTTTTCCTTGTGGACTAGTGACCATTCTAGCAGGAGGGGGAAGGGGCCACCACGGATCCAGGCCTGCCTCACAGCTCACTGAAGAAGTATCCTGGAATGCGATTTCCATCATGTCCATGGGCTATACAAACCTCTGTGTTGACATATGTGCCTCCTTTTCCTTGTGGACTAGTGACCATTCTAGCAGGAGGGAAAAGGGGACACCACAGACCTTCATCAGGGAATTGCCATGCCAACACCCTCTAATGTCATGAGTGTACTTCCCAAAATCATCTGAGGGTTGCACTGAGTAGTATGAAAAACCAAGTTTGATGAGGGGTTCTTTTCTTCTAAGGGAGCAGGAATCAACCAAACTTCCAGGAATTGGAATCAACCAAACTTCCAAGCCCATGGCTTTGCACTTCCTGGGCTCAAGGATTTTGGCAGGTTGGATCAGGTTGTCTGGCTCCTTGGGACACTGGAGGCACCACATGCAGAATTCTTGAGCTATGCAATCTGCTTCTTCTCTGAGGAGGGTCCTGAAGTCCTCCATATGCAGTGGTTCCTACAGTGCTGCAGGCACCTGCCATTCTTGTGGGACATCATGTGCCTGGCCTGTGCCTGCTCTGCCTTTTTGTATCGGATTATTCTTCATCTCTTTCACCTGAACACCTCTGGCCATCAAGATGGCCTTGCATCAAGCATAGTCACCTGGCTTGCAGGCGCCTGCTCTGGGCATCCTGGGCCCAGTATGTTTTGTGTATTGGCATCACCTTCCTTTGAGCCGCAGAGCCTCTGATGGTCTATCTGTCCAACATGTAGACAATGGACTCTAATGGACAGAACTGAAGTCTAGGGTCCATTAGGAGGAAGCACTCTTAAATGGTGGATCTGATGAACTGGCTTGACTTAGAGGCTTAGTTGTTTCTGGGCTTGGTGCCAGGTCCTGCAGAAGAGGTGACTGGACCCAAGACTGACCTGGACATGGTGATATACAAGGGATCAGAGTTTTTTTTTTCTTTTTTGGTTTTTGAGACAAGGTCCATCTCTATAGCTCTGGCTAGTTTCTATGGACCACGTCAGCTGAGATGCAGCTGACTCTACTCACAGACATTAAAGGCATTTGCCACTACACCTGGCTGAAAGATCAGAGATTCTTTTTTTTTATGTGCATTGGGTTTTGCCCTGCATGTATCTTTGTGAGGGTGTTAGATCCCCTGGACCTGGAGTTATAGATAGTTGTTTATGGGGGATGTCCTTCTGTATATATGTTTCTATTATTGGTTGATGAATAAAACACTGTTTCACCAATGAGGCAGGAATGAGGTGACAAGGAGGATTCTGGGAAAGTTAGGCAGAGACGAGCTGGAAAGTGTTGCCATGTTGAGACTGGGTGGAAAGTATGCACCATGTATTCTCTGATAAGATAAGACCACGTGGAAATACACAGAATAATAGAAATGGTTTAGTAATTAAGACAGAACCAGCTAATCAGAAGCCTTAGACATTGGCCAAGGGATTTATAACGAAAATGGCGTCTGTGTGTTTCTTTGGGGTTGAGGCAGCTGTGGGACCAGGCTGGCGGGACAAAGATAATTCAGCAACAGTTGTGAGTTGCCATGTGGGTGCCAGGAATTGAACCTGGGTGCTCTGGAAGAGCAGTCATTGCTCTTAACTGCTGAGCTACCTCTCCAGTTGCCAAGAGCACAGATTCATAGGAACGCTTCCCAACAGGATCTTCTACAGAAAGACTTCCATAGCATAAGACCAGTGAGAGCATCATAATGCCATGGGTTCTTCTAACATAGACAGCTTTCAAAGTGGTTCTGAGAAGTGCCCATGGTTGCCACATTCCTGTCCAGCACCTTTACTGGCATCTTTATTCCTCCCAGGAGACCCTAGCAAAATGAGCAATGGTGGTCAGAGCATACAACTTCCTCCAAATTTATTTGGTTGACTTGTGTAGTCCAACTGTTTCAACCCTTTCACTTTCCAGGGAACTCTGTTTGTCCTGAGACCTTGATGTCCCTTTCATGCCCAATCTGTGGGCAATCATGGCAACACTGCCTTGTCTCTGCTCTCAGCATGTATGTTTAGGAAGAGGCATGGAATCTCCTCAGCTCCCAGGACTTGTACCCAAAGCAGCCTTCAGTTCAGGTCTGCTGAGTGTTCATGATCATGGAAATTCAACCCTCATTTCTAAAATGACTAGAGCTGGGGCAGACCTATGGATGGTCATTAACTCCATCCACACATTTCTTGTGGGATCAGCTGTGATGGTGTCCAGCCACAGTGAGGATGATAACTATATCTGCCAAAGAATGATAATGACCAAGGCATCCTCAGGAACCTCAAGACATCTTTCCTTTTCCTTCTCAGAGATCCAGCTCAACTCATCCAGCCTTCTTACTCTCTATATCCAGCTCTTCCCTCCCCCTTGGCTCCATAGCCCCCTTGGGTCAGAACTTCATTCTTTTCATGGCTGAGTATTATTCCACTGCATGAATCAATCACTGTTTGTGAGGTGGGTGACACTGAGACTTTTTCTGAATAGTGGAGCCCTCAATAAACCCTACAACTTCATTTTTACGTTTTTTTGTTTTTCCTTCCATTTTTTACTTTCCATTTATTTAATTTAGAAACTTGATTGTTTTACATGTCAATCCCAGTTCCCTCTCCTTCCCCTCCTCTCCTGCCTCCCACTAACACCCTACCTATCCCATACCCTTTCTGCTCCCCAGGGAGGGTGAGGCCTTCCATAGCGGGTCTTCATATCCTTTGGGATAGGTCCTAGGGCCTCCCCCATGTGTCTAGGCTCAGGGAGTATCCCTCTATGTGGAATGGGTTCCCAAAGTCCATTCCTATGCTAGGGATAAGTACTGATCCACTACAAGGGGCCCCATAGATTTCTGAGCCCTCCTCACTGACATTCATGGGGTCTGGATCAGTCCCATGCTGTTTTCCCATCTATCATTCTGGGGAGCAAGAGCTCCCCCTTGTTCAGGTCAGCTGTTTCTGTGGGTTTCACCATCTTGGCTTGGACCCCTTTGCTCATTACACCTTCTTCTCTGCAACTGGATTCCAGTTTCAGTTCAGTGTTTAGCCATGGGTGTCTGCTTCTACTTCCATCAGCTGCTGGATGAAGACTATAGGATGGTATATAATTGAGTCATGAATTATCAGTGTGAGCATTTAAGGTAGCCTCTCCTCTGTTGCTTACATCGTTAGTTGGTGTCATCCTTTTAGATTTCTGGGTATTTCCCTAGTGACAGATTTTTCTCTAAACCTATATTAGCTCTCTCTATTAAGGTATCTCTTATCATGTTCTCCTCTATTCTTCCCCTGACTCAACTTTCCTGCTCCCTCATGTTCTCCTCACCCCATCCTCTTCTCTACTTCTCATTCTCCTAGCTCCCTCTCCCTCCCCTCATGCTCCCTATTTGTTCAGGAGATCTTATCCCTATGCCTTCTTGGGGACCATGTATGACTCCTCCTTGTTTCCTAGATTCTCTTGCAGTGTGGATTGGTAATCCTTTGCTCTATGTCTAAAATCCATATATGAGTGAGTTCATACTATGGTTATCTTTTTGTGATTGGGTTACCTCACTCAGGATGGTTTCTTCTAGTTCCATCCATTTGCCTGCGAATTTCAATATTCCATTGTTTTTTTTCCCACTGAGTAGGACTCCATTGTGTAAATGTACCACATTTTCTATATCCATTCCTCAGTTGAGAGGCATCTAGGTTGCCTCCAGGTTCTGGCTATTACAAACAGTGCTGCTATGAACATGGTTGAACATATGTCCTTGTTGTATGGACGTGCATTATTTGGGTATATGCCCAAGAGAGGAATTGCTGGATCTTGAGGTAGACTGATTCCCATTTTCCTGAGAAACCACAATACTGATTTCCAGAGTGGTCTTACAAGTTTGCACTCTTACCAGTAATGGAGGAATGTTCC